GGATTCACGGATTATCAGAGCTAGAATGACCCATAAATATTGTCTAAGTTGTTACCCTTTTCAGATAAATAGCCTGTCATGTAGGCCCACTCACATAGGCCATTGGCAGAGCAAACTTTCCTGACTCCCAATCCAATCTACTATCATCTTGTGAATGGGAGGCCAATACCATAGCCTTTTGTTTTTGTTTTTGTTTTTGTTTCTGGGTTTTTAAAAAGTAACTTTTTCTAACTATAAAAGTAATATATGTTTATTGAAGGAGAAGTAAAACATATAGAAGAGTATAAAGGACTAAAGTAACCCATTAACCGACCTAGAGATAAGTGTGTTAATATTTTGGTAGGTTTTCTTTATGTCTTTTTTAAATGTGTGTGTTTTATCTGTTAATAGTTTCTATGTATTGAGTGCTTAGTCCCAGTATATGTGTGCCTATTTCTTGTTTTTGTTTTAGTGTTTTGTATCTTCCTGTTTTAACATATTATCTTTTCTCATGAATATTCTTTGAAATTATGATTTTTGATACTTTCATAATCTTATCTTTAGTAGTCTGTCAATGTTTATTTGCCTGTTTAACAACTGTAGTAATAGTGTGATCTTTGTACATAAATCTCTGTGTCATCTCTGATTATGCTTTTTCACTTTTTCTTTGATTACAGAAGTTAGTTATTCCTATGGGAAAATTTTCAAACATTACAAAAACAGAGGCTTTAAGGCAAAAGTTTACCATAATTTTATTCTTCAGAAATGATTACAATAAATAATTTGATATATATTCTTATAGATTTGTTAGTTTTTTTTTTTTTTTTTAAGGCAAAAGTAGAGCAAAATATAGATAATAGTGGACATTTGGGAAAATTATTCACAATTCATTATTTTACCACAGTGATGATTATTTTTCCTTCTTGATCTTATTCAGATGTATTTTTAAGTTTTAATTTTTGAGAGGGGTCTCGCTCTGTCACCCAGGTTGGAGTGCAATGGTGCTATCACAGCTTATTGCAACCTCTACCTCCCACGTTCAAGTGATCCTTCTACCTCAGCCTCCTGAGTCGCTGGACACAAGCACGTCACATGTATATTTTAACAAACATATATTTTACATTATATTAATACTTGAAATTTTACTGTACCGGGTATTTTTAACATATGGCATAAATATTTTTTCCCAATAATCACATATTTTCATTTTTAATTATCTTTATGTCTAAACAATTTTCACCAAGTAGAAGTATCATAATTTGCCAATCCTCAGTGTCCACCAATAGACAAACTTTATTTCTGTGTACATTTCAGGGGATATTTTTACAAGTAACAGAAGAATTCTGTTTCTCTTCTCTCTGGAAAGTTACTTCTTTCTGAGAAAGTTCTAGTAGAATTATTAGGTCAAAGAATATAGTCTTTTTTTTTTTTTTTGAGGTGGAGTTTTGCTCTTGTCACCCAAGCTAGAGTGCAGTGGCGTGATCTTGGCTCATGATAGCCTCTGCCCCCTGGGTTCAAGCAATTCTCCTGCCTCAGCCTCCTGAGTAGCTGAGATTACAGGCGCCTGCCAATGTGCCTGGCTAATTTTTTGTATTTTTTAGTAGGGATGTGGTTTCGCCATGTTGGGCAGGCTGATCTCGAACTCCTGACCTCAGGTGGGATCCACCTGCCTTGGCCTCCCAGAGTGCTGGGATTACAGGTGTGAGCCACTGTGCCTGGCAGAATATAGTCATTTTTTATGGCATACTGATGACTCTGAGGTACACTACAGATGGTGTATATACAAAATGAGCATTCTGTTCTGAATTCCTGTATCCACAAAATGTTGACCACAGCATCCTAAGTATAACTAAGCTACAACTTTCACACCTGATGTATATTGCTAGATTCGCTCCAGAAAGATGGTACCAACTTACGTTTGCACTGGTGTGTGAGAAACTCTTTCTCTGCACCTTTGTGAATCTTGAATGTAGCATTAAAAATAGATTTTCCACTTTGATGTAAAAATTTGATTCTTCATTCTTTCAGTTTCCATTTCCTTGTTTACCACAAAGATGGAACATCGTTTTGATATGTTTATTGGCCTTTGTAATTCTTGGTGTATTTTTTGTATTTTCCGTTTTTCTCTCAGTTCACCCTTTTTTCTTACTCATTTGTAAGAAGTCTTTATTAGGTCTGTCTATCCCTTGATATATAACTGAAAAATACTTTTTTTAAAGCTTGTTTGTCTTCATTTCTTTGTATTTTGGATATACAGGGTATTGTTTTTATGTGGTCAGATTTATCAATTTTTGTCCTATCCATTTTGCATCATGCTTGAAAGTGCTAACCCCAGAATGAATTTTTGGTCATATTTTATTTTGTGGTTTTATTTTTTATATTTAACCCTTTAATTGGTTTCAGTTTATTTTGGTGTGTGGCACAATATAGTAATCACACTTTTTTTTCCAGGTAGTTAGCAATGGTGCCAACTTGATTTATTAATTATCTATCTTTTTGTGATTAGAAATGCTGCTTTTATCATATATTAAATTATTTTTATTTACATCTCTTAGAGGATTAGAGATATTTTATTTAATTAATTTATTTTTAAGACAGGATGTTGTTTTGTTGCCCAGGCTGGAGTGAAGTGATGCAATCTTTTTTTTTTTTTTGAGATGGAGTTTTACTCTTGTTGCCCAGGCTGGAGTGCGATGACACGATCCATCCTCACCGCAACCTCTGCCTCCTAGGTTCAAGCAATTCTCCTGCCTCAGCCTCCCGAGTAGCTGGGATTACAGGCATGCGCCACCATGCCTGGCTAATTTTGTATTTTTAGTAGAGACAGGGTTTCTCCATATTGTTCAGGCTGGTCTCAAACTTCCGACCTCAGGTGACCCACCTGCCTCAGCCTCCCAAAGTGCTGGGATTACAGGCGTGAGCCACCGTGCCCGGCCAATGCAGTCATATTAATAGCTCACTGCAGCCTTGAACTCCTGGGCTCAAGTGATCCTCCACCTTAGTAGCTGTGACTATAGGTGCATACCACTACACCCAACTAATTTTTGTTTTTTGTAGAGATGGAGTTTTCTCTGTTGCCTAGGCTGGTCTCAAACTTCTAGCCTAAAGTGATCCTCCCACTTTGGCCTCCTGAAGTGCTAGGATTACAAGTGTGAGCTACCTCACCTTGCTGGAATTAGAGATCTTTTAAGTGTTTAGACTCACTGTTGGAGTTTTCCTAGCCACATTGCTTTAAAGATTTTATCTGTTACTCCTGTGATTTCAATTACTTTTTTTTAATGTCTAAAACTCTTCAGGCCACAGTCTCTCTTTCAGCTATGTATGCCCTGTTCTACCTTCTGTGTAGATATTTGAAACTACAGATATCTTACTGCTTTCCAGACCAGTGTACCCACTGTCACTAAAGGTCACTGTTATCACCCAAAACTGGCTAATTATCCTTGACATCTCCCTCTCTCACCCCTCCCACCAATATTCATTCATTCTGGTTGATTCTTTTAATCCAGTCCCCATACTGGACTACTGAAATAGCCTTACAAGGGATCTTCAGGCCTTCACCTTACCCTCCCACTCCCCACCACTACACACATTATCTGTTGCTATAGACAGAGGAATGTGTTTCCATAAAACAGCAGATCTAATCATGTCATGTATTTTATCAAACTTTTTCAAATCCTTATTATGGCTTTCTCTTCACTTTAGGGTAAAGTCCTTAAAATGTGTTTTAGGGTTCTGTTTGAACTGGCTTGCCCTCAGGCTTTATGTCTCATTTCTGGTGTTTAATACTTGGGCATTACTGTGTCTCCTTTGTTCTTCCAAAGTACTGAACTTGATTCCTTTTGTATGTTCATTTTGTCTCTCTACTTTTTCCTTTCTTTTTTTTTTTTTGAGACGGAGTCTAGCTCTGTCGCCCAGGCTGGAGTGCAGTGGCACAATCTCAGCTCACTGCAAGCTCCGCCTCCCGGGTTTACGCCATTCTCCTGCCTCAGCCTCCCGTGTAGCTAGGACTACAGGTGCCCACCACCGCACCTGGCTAATTTTTTGTATTTTTAGTAGAGATGGGGTTTCACCGTGTTAGCCAGGATGGTCTCGATCTCCTGACCTCGTGATCCGCCCGTCTGGGCCTCCCAAAGTGCTGGGATTACAGGCGTGAGCCACCGCGCCCGGCCTTTTTTTTTTTTTTTTTTGAGATGGAGTCTCGCTCTGTTGCCCAGGCTGGAGTGCAGTGGCACAGTCTTGCCTCACTGCAACCTCTGCCTCCCGGGTTCAAGCGATTCTCCTGCCTCAGCCTCCTAAGCAGCTGGGACTACAGGCATGTGCCACCACGCCTAGCTAATTTTTTGTATTTTTAGTAGAGACGGGGTTTCACTGTGTTAGCCAGGACAGTCTCGATCTCCTGACTTCATGATCCACCTGCCTCGGCCTCCCAAAGTGTTGGGATTCCAGGCATGAGCCACCGTGCCTGGCCTACTTTTCCCTTTCACATGTCTAAAGGGGACCCAGACTATATCAGGTCTCCTCTGCTCTACATTCTGTAGCACCCCATATTTGCAGTTTTGTAACTCCCATATTTGAAATGATTCATTTAATGTCTTTATCCAGCTATGACACAAGTTGGAGCCAGATAGGGTGTCTGGCTTCTTTTTCCAGTGTCTAGCACTGATTAGTCACCCAAATCCCAGTCTGCGTGCATGAGTCTCTGAGTCTCTGTAGGACTGTATCATAGCTTACAGGTCCCTTTATGTTATTCCTGTGAATGAGAATCAGGAAAACCCAGATAGGATCTTCTTTTTTTTTTGAGTTGGAGTCTCGCTCTGTCTCCCAAGCTGGAGTACAATCGTGTAATCTTGGCTCGCTGTAGCCTCTGCCTCCTGGGTTCAAGTGATTCTCCCACCTCATTCTCTTGAGTAGCTGGGATTACAGGCACCTGCCATCATGCCCAGCTAATTTTTATATTCTTATGGAGACAGGATTTCGCCATGTTGGCTAGGCTGGTCTCAAACTCCTAACCTCAGGTGATCCACCTGCCTTGGCCTCCCAAAGTGCTGGGATTACAGGCCTAAGCCACTGTTTCCAGCCAAGGATCTTCTTAAAACTTTAAAATTCAATGCAAAAGCACAGACTTCACTGAGAAGTCCACAAGACCAAGCTTATTATGTACTTGAGCAGACTTATTTTATTCTTTCATGTCTTCCAAGTTCTTGACTCTGGTAAAAATCATCTCTGGATCTTCCCTTTTTCCTTGAATAATGCTGCCAGTTCTGCTTCTCACTTCAAGGTTAAATGGAGAGATATTTTTAAATGAACAGTTTTGATACTGACATTTTTAAAAAGAAGCATTTACAGAAACTGGTATTTTTGCAACTTTTTTGTAAGTCAAAACTTATTTCACAATTAAATTTATTTTTGTTTCTTTTTAACTGCAGCCTGTCCTCTGACACTGAGCTATACCTGAAGAAAAACTGTTTAATTGATATGACATCTTGAAGAAAGGACAATCAGTGTGTCTCTAGTTTGTATCAAGTAGATAGCATTCCCTGACACTATCTCAGCCTCTTGGCGTTTGGTAGAAGTGGGTGAATCAGACTTAGTACACAAGCCTTGCTATGAGGACATTTTGCTATGTAACTTTTAACTATATTGACTGGCTTTTCATATAGATTATTGTTTGATGGACAGAGTGTACTAATTGATGTGAATATACCTATTCATTTAATCTTTATAATTATAAAAAGGTAATGAATAACATTCTGATTTATTTATCAAGTGCTTAAATATTTGATAGTATGTTAGTCTGATGTTATCATTTTTTGGACAGCTAACAAATGGGGTGTGAACCTAGGAGGCTACAAGCCAATGCTGATTTTTGCGGATGCTTCCACATTGTTATCCTGAGAGTTATTGTGTGTGTCATTAGATAGTGTCACTAGGCAACAGCTCTTTGTTCTGTTTACTGGGACAGTAATATTCTCTCTCTCCGTGCACCTTTTACCCCCATGAGCAGGGCTCCCAGTTTTTTCAAGCCTGAAGTGTTTTCCAATCAAAGTGAAGAGACAGTCTGTGGATGTTGAATATGGAAGGAACTGAAGAGAGAGAGATTAGAAGAGAGACTTGTCCAGGTGAGTGAGCAAGGGACAAACAGTGGGAGAAATAGCCAGCCAGCAGGAAGCCTTTGGAAATTATAGAAGAGAAGCTGGGTGAAGCTCAGGAGATAAAATAACTGTCTCTTGTAGGGATGTTGGGTGCAGGGGTGGGTGAACATGTCTGGGGCCAACTTTTTCCCAGTACTAATTTTATTCTCATTTCTAGCATTTTCCTGTTTACAGTCTCCCAGTCTCCACTCTGGATACAAAGCATTCATGTTTCCTGTCTTGCCCTAATCTTAGCCTATGTGTTGGTTGTTGTTTTTCATTTATCTCCATTGTCTCATTCTCTTGCTCCTTGGGTGTCTGTAGCTACCCCTTCCATGGGAGTTCCTCATTAATGGTAATCATATTTCCCTGATACATATCTCTTCTACCAGTTTCAACTCTTAAGTTACTTGACACACTTGTTGTTACTGGCCCTTCATCATAGGCCATTACTGAGGTCTGCCAAAAGTTAAGGACAGGGACCTTCACTCTGCCCTGTATAGGAGATATTCATTCTGCTCTTTTCTTTCAGGCTGGGTAAACAAGAACAAGCCTGCTCCAGAGCAGGATGTCTGTAAAATTGACTCATCAGGGATAGTAGCAAAGAGATTCCAAGAGGATGAATACCAAGATTCTACATTTGAAGAAAAATATGCATGTGAGGGCATGAAGGAAAACTCTCCTAGGGAGATTGCTGAATCATGCCTTTTCCAGGAAGGAGGTTTTGGGGGAATAACTTTCATCCACAAAGAAGCACCCCCTGAAATTATTAGTCAAAACTATAATTTTGAGAAAAGCTTGCTTTTGACCTCAAGCCTTGTTACACGTCTCAGGGTTTCTACAGAAGAGAGTCTGCATCAGTGGGAAACAAGTAATATACACACCAATGATTTTTCAGACCAAAGTAAATGTCCAACTCTCTGCACACAGAAGAAATCTTGGAAATGTAATGAATGTGGAAAAACCTTTACTCAGGGCTCATCCCTTACCCAACATCAGAGAACTCATACTGGAGAGAGACCCTACGCATGTGAGGAATGTGGGAAAGCCTTTAGTCGTAGTTCGTTCCTTGTTCAACATCAAAGAATTCACACTGGAGTGAAACCATATGGATGTGAGCAGTGTGGGAAAACATTTCGATGTCGATCATTTCTTACTCAGCATCAAAGAGTTCACACTGGAGAGAAACCTTATAAATGTAATGAATGTGGGAATTCCTTCCGCAATCACTCACATCTCACTGAACACCAGAGAATTCACACTGGAGAGAAACCTTATAAATGTAATAGATGTGGGAAGGCATTCAATCAGAATACACACCTTATTCATCATCAGAGAATTCACACTGGTGAGAAGCCTTATGTATGCAGTGAATGTGGCTCTTCTTTTCGAAAACACTCAAATCTTACACAACATCAGAGAATTCACACTGGGGAAAAACCCCATAAATGTGATGAATGTGGGAAAACTTTCCAAACAAAGGCAAACCTCTCTCAGCATCAGAGAATTCATACTGGAGAGAAACCCTATAAATGTAAAGAATGTGGCAAAGCGTTTTGTCAGAGCCCATCTCTTATTAAACACCAGCGAATTCATACTGGAGAAAAACCATATAAGTGTAAGGAATGTGGCAAAGCATTTACTCAGAGCACCCCACTCACTAAACATCAGAGAATACACACGGGGGAGAGACCCTACAAATGCAGTGAATGTGGTAAAGCCTTCATTCAAAGCATTTGCCTTATTCGGCATCAGAGAAGTCACACTGGAGAAAAACCCTATAAATGCAATGAATGTGGAAAGGGCTTTAATCAGAACACCTGCCTCACTCAGCATATGAGAATTCATACTGGAGAGAAGCCCTATAAATGTAAAGAATGTGGGAAAGCCTTTGCTCATAGCTCATCTCTTACTGAACATCATAGAACGCACACTGGTGAGAAGCTCTATAAATGTAGTGAGTGTGAGAAAACCTTCCGCAAGTATGCACACCTTAGTGAACATTACAGAATTCACACTGGTGAGAAGCCTTATGAGTGCATTGAGTGTGGAAAGTTCTTCAGACATAGTTCAGTCCTTTTCAGACATCAGAAACTTCACAGTGGTGAATAATGCTGGCATTTAGGTTATGACAGTTTCTCTAGTGAGGATGACTATGAATCTGACTGGGAGTAGAGGGGCAGGTAGAGTTCCTGGAGGGAAGGAAGAAGGAGCCTTGGCTACTGTACTCTGAGAGGAATGTTTCCAGAAATGGAGGTGAGAGCTTAGGGAATGCAGAGCCTACTTGAGGTGGGCATCTGGGAATACAGGGTAGAAAGAAATTCCTGCTTTTGAGATAAAGCCTACACATTGCCACTGTCTCCCCATGTGACTTTACAGCTTGAGGGGGTATTTGTTAAGTTAGCACTTCTGCTAACTTTACAACACCCTGCCCCATCTTATGGCTTGTCACCCATTTTCGTTGGCTGGCAGCTTGAGATGTTTTTCTTAAACACTTCCTGTCAGTGTGAAGTGGCACAGTTCTGATGTAGTGCTAAGTCTGGCCTCCAGATTTGAGGCAGCCCTGACCATGCTACCATGGGGGAAGCTCCCAACCTGTGGAAGTTGTCCTGTAAAGAGGAGACAGAAACAAATAAGAACCAAAAAATAAAAAATAAAAAATCCATATTCATTCATTAAAAAAAAGGAGACATAAAGCAACAACTGGGCTGACCTCTATAGATCTGCCAGTAAAGAAGGTCTTCCTGATTCTTCCAAGCTTTGGGGTGACTCAGAGCTAAGAATGAAACAGGAGACCAAGTTAGAATTCATGATGTTGGTTCATGGGAAGGCAGTCATACCTGTTCAGAGAACCAGTAAGACCTAATATCTATCTCAGAGGTATAATGGTTACCCAGGAAGGAAATGGTCTGCTCAAGTGACAAGCCTCAGAACAGGAAGCCTGCATGCAACTGAGCAAGTCACCTACATAACCCTGCCTGTGCTAAGGTGTACACCTGTCTATTGTAACTTTGCCTAGGCTCTTGGTGTACAGAGACCAGAGGGGAGAGACCCACTAGGACTAACAGCATCCTAACAAAGTGGTACTTAGTTTGTTGGTCTTTAGGAGAAAGCATTAGTAATGAAAGAAGATAGAATTTTCAGTTGATTGGATGTTGGGGCCGCTTAAGAAAGTGTTGACATTTGTCATGGAATGATTTTGGAAAGACTTCTAAAAGAATCTTTTTCAAATCCCTGAAAATCAGGATAGCACATTTTGCCACTGACTGTGACAGTATTTTATTCTTTTGAGAGAAATGACATAGTTTTCCCTTTATTTCCCAAATTCCTTTCATGATCTTAACTGCTACCCAGAAATTGAGCTCCAGAAGATTGAGGATAGCCTTTGACTGGTATTTAAAATAGTTTCTAAGCTGTGAAGCTTATAGCATTTTTAAAGTGTGGCTATTAAAAACACTAAATTAAGTTGATTCTGGAATACTTGGTTATTTGGAACTCATCGATTTTTCTAGAGCAATTGCCTTCTAGGGATAGGTTTAGACCATGAATTACCATTAATGGGAATATGGTATAAATATCATATATCTTTTTCACTTTCTATGAAGATTATGTTCTTAAAACCTACCACCAATGAAGTCATAATTGAGGAAATTAATACATTATGGGTAAAAATGCTGTAAAAGCTTTCTAAATATGTTCATGAAAATATTATTTTACCAAAAACAAACAATGTATTTATACCTCCTAGATAAAAACACTGTATAATTAATTACTGGCACATAATACATGTTCAGTAAATATTTATTTCATGAGTTAATATATCAACCATTCCCCAACAGAACCTTTCTTGGAACTTCCTGATGAATATTTATAGCAATATTTGTACACCATCTTGAGAATTATGAGTGGAGACTAGAGAGAATAGGGAGAGTTTTCTTAATAAAGAAACAAGAAAACTTTAACGATATCTTGGGAGGCTGAGGCACGGAGAATCACTTGAACCTGGGAAGTGGAGGCTGCAGTCAGCCGAGATTGTGCCTGTGCACTCCAGCCTGGGAGACAGAGTGAGACTTTTTCTCAAAAAAAAAAAAAAAAAAAAAACTAAGTTCTTGTGGAAAAAATTTTCTCAAATGGAACAGACTTGATCCTGAATTTTTAATTCTCAGGCTGAGAAAATCTGGCATGTTTTCACATTCTGGGGAAACAAAGGTAAATAACTGGTCTTTCCACTACCATGACCCCATATTCTCACACTTGCACTTATGTGCTCTGATTTTCTCTCAGTTGCTGGCCCATGATGTGCCTAGTCACTCCAGTGTGGCCCCAAACCTAGGCATTGCCCTCAACCTCAATTTTCCCTCTTACTCAATCTTCATATCCATTTAACCACTATGTCCTGTTGAAGTTATCTCCTATCTCTAGAAGCCATATCCACTGCAATTGTTGTAGTCCAGTCCCCTACTCCTTTAATTTTAATTTTTTTTTTTTTTTTTTTTTTTTGAGACAAGATCTCACTCTGTTGTCCAGGCTGGAATGCAATGGCATGCTCTCTGCTTACTGCATACCCTACCTCCCAGACTCAAGTGGTCCTCCCATTTCAGCCTCCCAAGTAGCTGGGACTACAGGCATGTGCCACTATGCTTGGCTAATTTTTGTATTTTTTTTTTTGTAGAGATGGGTTTCACCATGTTGCCCAGGCTGGTCTCGGACTCCTGGGTTCAAGCAGTGTGCCTGCCTCAGCCACCCAAAGTGCTGGGATTATAGGCATGAGCCACTGTGCTAGACTTCCTATTTTAAAATTTATCTAACAGTCTTCCGGTTTCTTGCCCCACTACGCCATTTTCACATTTCTTCTTGATCTTTGTAAGCATAACTAGCTGCTTATTGTTTTCAGAATAAAGTACTAGTCCTTTAAAGAGGCATGTAAGGCCCCTCATCTGGCCCACGCCTGAATTGCCATCCCCAGGTGCCATTCCTTGCCTGGCATGTTCTATTCCATAGTTCAAATTCCTGTGATTCTGGAATATCACCTCTGGACTCTACTTTGGCACTTTTGCACATACTGTTCCTGTTGCCTCAATTCCCTTCCCTGCTTCTGCTTGCCAGCAAAACTCCCATTTTTCACTTAGGAATGTGCTCAGGCAATATCTCAAAGCTGTCTGTAACCTCATGGATGTTTTATTCTGTCTTGTATTTTTCATCATTTTATTATGTTACATTATAATGGTTTGTTCACACATCTTTCCCTTTGTCAGCTTTGCTAGGGAAGGAACAATGTGAAATTTGTTTACCTTTGTATCAACAGTGCCTGGTACTTAGGAGGTGCTCAATAAGTATTTGTTGAACTCAGCTGAAGAGTCAGACATTTCTGTGTGCCAGTCTGCAGGTTGTGACTTAGGTCCCCAGTTGTCAGCAGGAAGGATGCATGGTGAGTATGTGTATCCATGAAGTGTCTGCCAGGAGCAAGAATTCTGCAACTTTCCCTAAGATAAGGTATGTGGTTTTATTAAACAGAAGATCCCATAAAAAACAGTGTTTTTCAATTAGAGATTTAAAAGTCCTATCACAATTTAACAAAATGCTTTCAATTATATTGATGTCAGGGTCAGCAGGAGGAGGAAAATGCATGCAACTGCAGAGACATACCTGTGTCAACTGGAATAGCTATGAAATAGTAAACAGGAACGGAAGAGTAATGCTGGCCTAGCAGGAGGGCATTTGGAGCTTACAAATCCTAAAGTGTGCCAGGCATGGTGGCTCGCACCTATAATCCCAACTACTCAGGAGTCTGAGGTGGGAGGATTGATTCAGGCCAGGCGTTCGAGAGCATCCTGTGGAACATAGCAAGATCTTGTCTCTAAAAAAAAAAAAAAAAAAAAAGCCGGGTATGGTGGTGCATGCCTATAGTCCTAGCTATTCTGGACGCTGAGCCTGAGGTGGAAGGATTGCTTGAGCCCAGGTGTTTGGAGCTGCAGTGAGCTAGGATCACGCCACTGCACTCTAGCCTATGTGTCAGAGAGTGAGACCCTCTCTCTTAAAAAAAAAAAAAAAAAAAGTTCCAAAGTGGAAGCACTTCCTGAGATTTTGGGCTCTGGGATGATAAAGAATTTGAGTGTCTTGCTTATTGTGCACTGAAATTTAATTCATGACTTCAGAAGGACACAGTGGGATGAAGCCACATCAGATCCTCAGGACAAAAGAGGAAAGATGTGATTGGGGTTGCTCAAGACTACACAACCAGTGTCACATGAGGTTCAAACTGCAGTGTCCTTGCATTTCATTCACTTTTCCCTGTATTGGTTATACCTCTATTCCATATGCCTCTTTATCTTTTGTAGAACTGACCACTTTTTTTTTTTGTTTCTGAGATGGTTTCACTCTGTTGCCCAGGCTGGAGTGCAGTGGCATGATCCTAGCTACTGTAGCCTAGACCTCCCAGGCTCAAGCGATTCTCTCACCTCAGCCTCCCAAGTAGTTGGGACTACAGATGTGAGCTACCATGCCTGCCTAATTTTTAAAAAGTTTATTTTATGGCCGGGTGCAGTGGCTCACGCCTGTAATCACAGCACTTCGGGAGGCAAAGGCAGGCGGATCACGAGGTCAGGAGTTTGACACTAGCCTGACCAACATGGTGAAACCCCATCTCTACTAAAAATACAAAAATTAGCCAGGCCTGGTGGCACATGCCTGTAATCCCAGCTACTCAGGAGGCTGAGGCAGGAGAATCGCTTGAACCCGGGAGGCGGAGGTTGCAGTGAGCCAAGATCATGCCACTGCACTCCAGCCTGGGTGACAGAGCAAGAGTCTGTCTCAAAAAAAAGTTTATTTTATTTTATTTTTTGGTACAGACAGGTTCTTGCTATGTTACCCAGGCTCATCTCAAACTCCTGCTCTCAGGTGATCCTCCTATCTTGGACTCTCTTACAGGCCTGAGCCACTGCATCCAGCCTAGAATTGACCACTTAGTGCTCCAGTCTTTTCCTTATCCTGAGGATGTGAGGAGCTCACTTGTATAAGATTGAGAGGGATTTTCTTCTCAGAATCTCAGACTTTCCTGAGTGTGAGGGTGACAAGTAAGTTGATTATACCTTTTGGCCCCTACTTTCTATATAAGGCAGAAACCTAATCTTGACCGTATGTGGCATTAGTTTCATTTCTTTTATCCACTGGCCACATGAGGGCTAAGGTTATTTTAGTGTTATGGAATGTTTTTGGTGTGCATCCCTACCATCTATTTTACACCTCATTTGAAAGAAGCTCAGCCCAAACTGCTATTAAACTCCAGATTACAGTTTCTAGTAACCTGCTCTACCTAGGGTACCTCACTCCAGACTTAATGTCCTCCACACACTAGAGCCTGCTGATTTGGAGATTCTTTGAAGCCTGATGTTTGGGGAATGAATAATTAGACCTAGGCTCTCTGGCCTGTGAGATGTTAGGGCTGGAGGGAAGAACTTGCTATCTGATTCCAAAGAAGTGCTGAGAATGTGACACCTGGAAAGAGAAACTTTATTGTTACATGGCATGTCAACTGACAATTTTACGAAGGGTCACTTTTTAGCCAAAGATAGTGATGGCCCCAGTCTGTGGCACCACCATTCCTGATTTGTGTCCAATAGGGACTCTATTTTGGGAAAACTGCCAATCTGAAGATTGGAATGGATAATTCTATTTTATTTTATTTCATTTTATTTTATTTATTTTATTTTTGAGACAGGGTGTCGCTCTGTAGCCCAGACTGGAGTGCAGTGGCATGATATCGGCTCACTGCAAGCTCCGCCTCCTGGGTTCACGCCATTCTCGGGCCTCAGCCTCCGGAGTTGCTGGTACTATAGGCGCCCCCCACCACATCCGGCTATTTTTTTGGTATTTTTTTAGTAGAGACGGGGTTTCACCATGTTAGCCAGGATGGTCTTGATCTCCTGACCTCGTGATCCAGCTGCCTCAGCCTCCCAAAGTGCTGGGATTACAGGCGTGAGCCACTGCACCTGGCCATTTTTTTTTTTTTTTTTTTTTTAAGATGGAGTCTGGCTCTGTCACCCAGGCTGGAGTGCGGTGGCATGATCTCGGCTCACTGCATCTCCGCCTCCCAGGTTCAAGCGATTCTCCTACCTCACCCTCTTGAGTAGCTGGGATTACAGGGGCGCACCACCATACCCGGCTATTTTGCGTATTTTTAGTAGAGACGGGGTTTTGCCATGTTGATCAGGCTGGTCTCAAACTCCTGACCTCGTGATCCGTCCTCCATGGCCTCCCAAAGTGCTGGGATTACAGGGATGAGCCACCACGCCTGGCCTGGAATGGATAATTTCTCTGCTGCATCTCATTTACTCAGCAAGTGTTCACTACTATATGCTGCACACTAGGGATATGATGGTATGCACACAGCCCCGTTGTCCTGAGCTTGCAGATCAATAGGAATGCTTGGAAGTGAATAAGGTACTCTCCACTCATGCCTTTATCTCTGGACTTCACCTGTCAAGATGAGCCCATGTGTGCAAATATTTCCTGAGTTAGGGCCAGCAAGATCTGAAGTTTTGTAGAAAGGGATGAGTGTGCTACCTTGAGGCCCTGAAAGGTCACTGAAGCCAAGGCAGAACAATAGGCACTGGAGCTGGGATTTGAGAAGCAGATAATAGTCCTAACATTTACTGAAGATTTTAAAAATACTAGATGTTAGTAATTCACACGTATTAACCTCATTTAATCCTCACAACAACCCTATGGTACCATTATTATACCTGATAAGTGAGGAAGCAGGCACAGAGA